GCTTCGGCCCCTGCGTGCTAAGCAGATCGCCCACTCAGACGGCATGGCCGGCCGGAGATGGAAGATGGGTCAGGGGATGCAATGGTACTATAGGTGGAGTTATCCCTTATCATCAAGTGCTCCAGGGGCCCACGGACTGAAAGACTCATCACCATGCATTACGGGTTACCCTGAATGCACTGAGCCACCGCCGCGGCACAGTTGCAACATGGCCAAAGCCCCCACAAGCTTGAAAAAGGTCGCCGAATATGCGTGGATCAAGTGTTCTGGTCGGCTACAGCTTCTGGATGCGCCCTGGCGGCAATTTCAGCTCAGCTCGAGGTTGTTCGTGAGCAGCGCAAAACATGATGGGAGGTTTGACAACACATCCGCGTTTTGAGATAACGAGTAGTGTATGTCTTTAGGGGCGACGGTGCCGTTTCTACAGGCATTGGGTCATGTAGCGGCACCTGCTTCCTCGGATGTTGAAAACCTGTGCATTCCTCGAGTGGGAGAGTTGATCCCAGGAGAACGGCGACAGAATCATGACCACAGAAGGAGCAGGCGTGGAAATTTCTATCGGTTCCCGTGGTTGAGCTGCACTGGTTGTTTGGTTGGCTGGGACCACAATCGTCATCAACAACGAGAATTACTACAACCACTACCAGAAGTGGCAGTTTCAGACACCCGAATCAGATAGGGCATATGTCGGAACGGTCTCATGCTTGAGGGGCGTTTCATGAGGGGCCTGAAGGACTGCCGAACCTCATGCGTTGCCTGGCGCAGCTAGACCCGTCTTTGGATGCAAGGGCAGAGAGAGAGAGAGAGAGAGAGAGAGAGAGAGAGAAATCCACAAGAAGTGGATTTAGCCTGGTAGCGGTCACACTTCGGGGGATGGAGCATGCGAGCTGGACAAGGCGGCGACACGATGCTCAGGGAACCTTCTCGTCCCACACCCGTGCAAGCAAGCAAGCAAGCAAGCAAGAGAAATCTGATATGAAATGTGGCTTAACGTCGTACACCCATATGTTGAAAGCCCTGAATCTGCTTTCGTGCAGCCCAGTGCACAGGTCGAGCTCAGGCGCCGACGATCGTTGATCGGGAGACATTGACCACACCCGAGCCGTATCTAGGTCCCAAGTGGTGCCATTTTGGCCTTTTGATTTCGGGGTTTCCGCCTTGACATTGACTTATAGCAGGAAAGATACCTATTAGTATCATTTAGTATCAGCGGCATGCTGGTTGACCGAGGTACAGATCGCCGTTGACGATCCAAACCGCCACGGTGTGCGAGCTGTTGCAGATAAGCAAGGCAAGGTTCAAGGTTAAGGGTTGGGCTTTTGGAGGCTTGGATTAAGGGCTCAGCTGCTTATCATTGTGGGAGAGGGTTTAGGTCGTAGCCTGGCTAGACGTGCGTCGCCGGACCTTGAGACAATGGGAAGAGAGTAACATGGGTTTTAGGGCTTTAGGGTTAGGGTAACATGTCCTGATCTCTCGTCTTCGCCTCAAGGGCAAAGAGTCTTCGACGGCAGGCTACGTTCCTCAAGTTCGCGGGTCAAGACCAAGCTGGGGCGACAAGGACGCCAGCAAGAGTGTTCAGTTCAGTGTGTTGAGCAATGCCACGTGGTGGCCACTAGGATACAATATATTGTCTAGTATCTAGTATAAGAGAAGGGCCAGTTTTCGCAGCTGGGGCAGCGTTCGGCGTGATGCCTCGATGTGCTAGCTGGAGCTTCGGCTTCTGCTCTAGGCAGTGAAGTGTAGGGTAGGGGGTAGGGTAGGGGGTGGGCAGGTAGGGTGGGGGGGTTAGGGGGTCGGGTTGGGGGTAGGATTGGGGGTATTGTTGGGGGTAGGGGTTTAGGGTTGAAGAGTGCAAGATTACGGAGGTTCGAGCTGAGAGTATGTGGAGTTGTCCTGCCAGGATATGGAGGAAGAAGTTCCATGCTGCGAACACAGGAATCATCAAGGCTCTTTGCTTAAAGCCTAAATGCCTTCGGGCGCAGATACAAGTTTGTGAGATTCCGGATGCGAATTCGTTGCAATCTGCTCAGAAGCCAGGTTTTGTTAGAGGTGGACTCGCGAGAGGCACATGTTTCTCTTGCTTTTCCCGGGCTAGCTCCTAAGCCTGAGCCTTTGCATCAACAAGTCACATCTGCTAGCGCCAGTCAGGCATCCTGGTTACCCTAACCCAAACCCTACATCCGCATCCGTGGTATGGGGCCTTTTGTCCGCAAAGGTCCAGTTTTCAGGCTTGGAGACCGACGAGCAGCAGAACACGGTCTGCGCGTCTGCCACCACGGCCGTCCTCATGTCGGGCCACTAGAGGCTGGCTGTCTCGGTTGTGCTTATGTGCCAGTGTTCAAGTTTTGTTTTCCACCCCGTTCTCATAGTATGTCGTGGCCGCGGTTGTGATGCGTGGGGTACTGCTGTGTTTGCCCTTCCAGAGGCTGTTGTTGTTTTGGACGACGGCTGCACTGCGGCCGTGCTTCTGCTTCTTACTGCTGCTTCTACTACTACTAGTTCTACAACAACTACTACTGCTGCTGCTACTACTACTACTGCTACTACTGCTACTACTGCTACTACTGCTACTACCACTGCCACTGCCACTGCCACTACCACTACCACTACCACTACCACTACCACTACCACTACCACTACCACCTACTACCGCTGCTACTACCGCTACTGCTACTGCCATTGCTACTGCTACTGCCATTGCTGCCTTTTGCTTGTTGACCAATTAGCAGATGTAGCGCCACACTGAAGGTTCTGATGTCCTAAAAACATGCCAGGGTATTCGTAGAAGCTCGTTGCCAAGAGTCACACGGAATGCGCCCACGAACCTATTCGGGAACTCACACCTCATTCCTCGGCTGATTGACTTGCTGCCTGACAGGTGCTCAAGTGGACTCGTGCCGAACACCTGATGTTGGCAAGGCCACTGAACAGAGCACAAGACTGAATTGCTTTAGGGCAGCGTACCCAGCCCTGCCACTCTGCTGGCTCTCTTGACCTCGCAACTAGCCAGACAGAAGTTTGCGCTTTGCAACGCATCCGTGGAGGGTTGGATGGGCAGAGTATGATGTGCAACGTGCACACTGAGACCACTAGAAGCACCGCAGGGGCCTAAATAAGGAGACGGTGGAAACGGCACAGCGGTAAAAGTTTGCTGGTTTCTGGAAAAGGTCCCTGTAGATTCAGACCCACACCCAACCCCCTAAGCTTTGCGCTGAGGACCGTCGCGGGTTCTTATTTGGGCCTCTCGAGTGCTTGAAGAAGGGAGCGTCCCTCTGAAATAACCCGAAGCCCTGAACTCACCCCAAGCTCTCGACCCGCAACCCTGACGAGAGGACCCTCCCGAAGAAGGATAAGCGTTTGATGCCTCCCACGCCTGCCCTGAGGGCACGTGGAGGAGGTTAGCCACTCGGGGCCTCGAAATAAACCAGGTCCATCCATCTTGTGGCGCTCCCGTAAAGTGCGGTTGGCTGGGCCTTGGGTTGCGGCAGGTTACGATACGGTTGCCGGTAGTTCAATTAAAGGTCTTGAGTCGCCACGGAGTTTACTGCACTGCAGGGGCCCAAAATGAATTACCCATAATAGAATGATATCATTAAGGCCCCTATATTACCCCCCCTTGGCCAAGCCTTGGAGGCAGGGCCCGTGGGGAGGACCTTGGCCATTCGCTGTTGATGCGACGCAAGGGTTTCAGTTCCAGCCGCCGGGTTCGAAAAGTCTGCAACTCCCAAGTGCAGGACTTGGGAGACGCTTGTAAATTATGGCCCTTTATGTTGTCTTAGGGTTTAGGTAAAAGGTTAGGGTTTAGGGTTTGTTGTGCCGGCAAGCTGGAACCTTGCCGGCACACACCCAAATTGTTGTCTAGACTGGTGCATTATGCAACGAAGGATTGCAGGGGAAAGGGCCATAATCTAGAGCAGCCGCCATGTGCAGAGTCTTGACCAGCGTAAGGGAAGCTAAACAGCATCCTCAAGCTTTTTTCCAGGGTCCTTTTGTTTCGGTTTGCGGTATACGGCGCTTAGATTTCGAAGCTCAGACTGACGGATGAAGATGGTTGGTAGAGAAGCTGTGTGGTCTGTAGCTTCCCTGAAGTCGACAGGAGCACCTTCCGAAAGCCACGCCCTGAGAGCCCAATACTCTTCACACGAGAACCTCCCTTAACCACAGAGAGTCCGATTCAAGGTGCCTCGAGCTCCGATTCCCAAGCCCTAAACCCCACAATGGACTATGTGGAGCCTTGCCTGCTGCGTGCGAGTGTGAGCGTCGAAACCCCACAAAAACCCATCCAAAAGGCCTCAGCCTGTTTCTTAATATAGGGGCCCATAATTACCAATACTGTTTTGGGTGGTTCCCTATGAAACTTGTAGTATAACGGGCTCCAAAACCCTCTTCTGATGAGTAAGGCCCTTGTATTAACTACGGGGAGTGGAGCATTGGGCTCTCTGGGCCCAGGGTTGGTACTCCGTCCGGACCGTCGAAGTTTCACCCAGCGAGCCACGTCCTGACTTGTGGCGGCTGGTTCCACGTTGAACAGTCGGCGCCGCTGAGCATCTTCGAAAGTGGGATTTTTCAGAGATCTTCTTGAGGGTTAATTCATGGGATGTACTTTATAGTATTATAGCCAGGTATTGCGAAGCTGGTGTGGGGACGCAGGTACCCTGCTCGTTATCTCGCACATGTGACATTCCAAGGTGTCAGCATTGGTAGCAACTCTTAGTTGTTCACTCGTGCAGATATCAGCCGCGTCCTGGCAGTATAGCAGTCTAGGAGATGTCTAGGAGAGTCCAGCAGTCGTACTGTGTATAGTGGAGGTCGCCGTTGTGGCGCAGTTTTCAAGAATCCGCACGATGTGTCTTCCGATGCGCATACGGCATAACCATGAGCCGAACCAGAGGCAATAAGCAACACAGCACAAGAAACACGATATCGCCAATGCCAACGATACCATGCACATTTCAGACTGATATCACCAATTCTTTTTCCTATTTACCCGACGCTTGCAGGGACGAGGCCGGTAGAGAAGATGCACCAGGTGCCTTCGCAGCGTGTTGTGGCTTTGGGCTTTAGGGCTTCGGCAGCCCGGGCTTGCGGGGTTTGCGGTTGCGGTGCGAGGCTTTCACATTTACATGCTCATGAAATGCTTCAGATGTGAACGGCTCACGGGTTCATTCGGAGCTGCATGATTCTGAACGAAAGTGTTTGGTCGATTCCAGATCACGTTTCAAAACGACAGGCTGTGCTGCAGGTTTGGGATGCAGGAGGTCGGGGTGGGGCAGAGACGCGCAGCCCAAGGTGCCTCCGAGCCAGTGACGCCAAGGCCGAGCGGACCTATGTTCGGTTTATGTAAATCTGATGGTCACCCTGCAAAGTGGGGGGCCCTGATAGGGAAGCAAGGAAGCACGGACGACTAATGAATACTACGAGGAAGGTGGGAAGCAAGGCCTACTGTATAGGTTAATCCAAGAAGCTTGTTAAACCTGAACACAGCAGGCAGCCCTTGGTTCCCAAAACGTTCAGCGAGCATCGAGCCATCTACCTCCGGTCCATGCGACCCCTCTGTGCTACGGCCCTCTAGCTTTGCGAAGAATGCATTTACTTGAAGAAACTCATATTCATGTCTATCGCCGAGCAGAATTAAGAAGACAACATTAGGGACAGATGCTTCGCACGTGCTGCGTCGGCATGATCTTCAGGCTTACTATCACCAATGCCTGAGTATCTACAGCATTTGCTCAACAGTGAGTCGTGAGGATTGCAGCTGCCGTTGCTGGTTGTTCTTCCTCGTCCGGCTGGTGCTACTTCTGCTACAACAACCAAAACTACTACTGTGACTACTGCTGCTGCTGCCGCTGCTGCTGCTGCTGCTGCTGCTGTTTCAACGAGTGCTAACGGTGCATCCGGTACCTCTACAGCGACGACGGTTACAATGACGTTATTGGTAGGCATTTTCATGGCTATGACGGCTATGCCAGGCTCTGCTCAATTATTGTGTAGTGTAGTTCATGCATCCAATGAGCCGGTCCTGTGTTCCCCTCAACGATGAAATTGAGAACATAGTCAGTGTTTGCCACCGGCTCTGCGGGCAACTCGAAACTAGAAAACTGGAAACATACGTCTGTGCCTTGGGTTACGAACGCCTACTTCCTGCCAGGCGCAAGACGAAGGGCCGTGCTAGTGCCCACCTCTCAGTCGCAGCATTGATCAGGCTGCGGGTCCCATTACACGTCTACTGCTATTCATTAGTGTTATTGCTATTGCAACATCCTTACTGCCTTTACTGTCTCTAGCCCCGTACTTAGGCGGGAGCACACTCCACGCCTGCGAAGCGAAGGACGGAATCGCAAGACTGACTCACAGCCAGTGCGTGTGTGTGTGTGTGTGTGTGTGTGTGTGTGTGTGTGTGTGTGTGTGTGTGTGTGTGTTGTGTGTGTGTGTGTGTTCGTGTGTGTCTGTGTGCGCATCCTGCACTGCACCCTGTTCTGCATCGCTGTCACTTGTATCTTGGATTTGTCACCGGTGGCCACTAGCCGCCACCAGGCGATCAGAACTTGGGGCGTCCGTGTGCGAGAGAGTTTGCAGGAGAACTTCCTACCATGGTGCGGAGGTGCAGGGTGTACAGTTTGGGGGACATTTTCGTGGCTTGTGGGTGGAGTGGTCGGAGGTGTGCGGATCTTCAACAGGAGATGCTTGCATGCAGTACACATCGCATACGCGCGTTGAACATACTGTGGACCGAATCGTTGCGAGATCCAGATTCCATCTTATCGTTTCCCGGATCGCAGTGGCGATAGCTCAACTCAGCTTCAAACACCGGGGCCAAATAATTACCAGTATAATTGTATGGGTTGCTTAATATGACTATCGGAAAAACCCCAAAACCCTACTCTAATTACTGGGGTTTCTATGTTATAGAACCCAATCATAGATTCCTTTAAAGGAACCCTTAAATGGAACCCGATTTTATTTATTCAGGCCCCTACATTAAGTAAGCTTGAAGGAGAGAGCATTAAACCCTAAAGATCCCATCCCCAAGCTTGGATTCAACACATGGGCAGGGGCGCCTGGAGCGATTCTTGCCCACTCCGCCGGGTGTCCTGGGCTTTGGGGTTTCGTCTTCTGAAAAAGCTGGCTCACTTGGGCTTCTTATTGCGCACCCTTGATGACAGTCAAGGTGCAGGTGGTGATAGTGTGGCTTTCGCAATCAAGCGGCCAGGGCTACAGGTAATCAACCGGCTGCTTAGCTCCATGGCTCATGTAGGCGGACATTCAGTCGGATTGTTGCTTTGGCGCTGGGTCTCAAGTTCTTCCAGGTCTGTTCAGGGTCCATGTCACAGTGAAGGCCTCTAGGACCGCCAGATCTGGGAGAGCGAAGATAGCCTGGTGTTTGTGGCTGGCTTTGTTCGATTCTAAAAACCTTCATTGGGGATAGCAAGGAACTGTAGCTACAGTTGTGGTGCTTATAGCTCTGATGGCCGCGACTCGCTATAACACCCCAAAGCCTAGAGCCGCAACTCCCTAAACCCCCAAACCACATATACACATATATATATACACATATGTATGTGTGTGTATGTATATATGTAAATATATGCACACATATGTATATATGTGCATTTGGCATATGCACAACACGTGTACGTACATACATATGTATATATATATATACACGTGGTATGTATGTATGTATGTACGTACGTATGTATGTATGTGTGTATGTATGTAAGTACGCATGTACGGATGTATGCATATTGTATGTATATATATATATATATATATATACAGAAGTAAACAAGGAGATGCTAATGACCAAAAATCTATGTATTTATCTATCTGTATATATATATATATATATATATGAATATGAGTATGCATATAATCTGAACCAGTAGAGCTTAGGAGCAAGCGAGTCCGCGAGCGCATCGATCGGGCACAGCACTCAGGGGTTGAGGGACCCCTGGACTATCGAAAACAAGGAGTCATCAAGGAATCTTCCGTGATGGTTTAGGGTGAGGTCGGGTTTGTTCTGCAAGTATACTGGGAATCCTGAGCCTGACTTTCCAAGAGTCGAGACTTTCAGGCTGCAACCCCCCCCTCTGCTTTCAACCGCAATGTCTATTGCCCAAGCTGGCAAAGAACCATTTACTTTCAGACTCCCTGACCTTAGCCGACCCACCGACGTGCTGTCGAAGCGGGAGTTTGTGTTAAAGGCCTAGAGGATCTGGAGTTTGTGTTTAGGGCTTCAATTGGGCCCGCTTCTTCCGCCCCTTTTTGGGTACCTGAAATATTAGTAGGATATTGGGGACCCCAAAAAGGATCATAATTTTGACACCTTCTCCCACCAGAGCTTGCAACGGAGGCGAAAGAGCACCGACTGCTTCTCGTCAACTTCGAGGCCACCTGGGTGTTTACGGCTTTAGGGCTTTGGGTGTTAGACAGGTTTAAGGTTCTTCAGGGTTTCTTATTACAACTAATAGTATAATGGGCCCCAAGAACCTTTCCTATTTATTATGGCCACTATAGTACCACAGAATCTGCTCGGCGAGCCGCCCGTGTTTCGAGAAACGGACCCCGAACACCACAAGAGCTCACGGCTTCCGTTTTGCTCGCCATTGCTAAACTGTCAGTGTGGTGGCTTGATGTCTTCTGTTGATTTCTTCTGCACTTCGCCTGACCTCTTGTCCTACTTCGTCCCCGCCATGGGTGTGATTTTCGTGTGACTGCTGTCTTCGGGGCCTAAGCTCCACTACCGGCGCCGGAAGACGGGTCCGCAACATTGGCTTCGATAAGTTCATGGCGTGTCGAGCAGCTGTGCAGGTTGCTGCGCGAGGTGAAATTACGGCAACCGCTTCGTCCTCAGGGCGCGTGATGCTTTCTTGTTTCGGGCTTGCAACTCGGTGATCTGCGATGTTGAACCATTTATATACATCGATGGTTTGAGTATCGGGTAGACGGCTACAAAGCTGGTTGTACCTTGAGCTCTATGTGCCTGAGACCATCCCAAGGACGCAATCTTACACTTGACATGGACGAGCCTCAGAATCTCAAGACCCCGTTCGAGATAGTGTGCACTACTTCTCTTACGCCATAAGTCTCAACATGGCTGCTGCAGGCTTCCTGCCCCCGGGCAGGTCCTGTGATGTCGTACACTACTGACCTTCGGTAAGTTTGGAGTGACTGTTTGTAGCAGGCGATGTATGTGTCAAATCCCGTTTCGGAGTTTTCCAGGCTCGCCTTCATGCTGTTTGGGGATGCCAAGCTCACTCACTGAGCTACCTGTTTAAATCCTACCCCGGCCCATTGACCATGGGCACGTTCCGATTACGGCACTGAACTGAGGTACTCGGCCACACGGGCAATGTCTATGACGTCCGTATAGGACAGTTTGGTGTCAGTTGCTTGTCTTGAAGTGTCCCGTTCAAAGCCACGGCGTGAAAATGGTGGCAATGTACACACGGGGGTGCCTGATCATCATCACAGAGAAGCCGAAGTAAATGGCTTTGAATCGTACATACACAGAGCTATAATATCATGAACACAACCTTCTGATTTTTGAGCCTGCAGACTGAGCCAAACTCGTGTCCCGCGTTGAAGGAGCTCGGGTCGTGTGCACCTGCCCGGACTTTCTCAAGGCTCGGTGATGCGCGTCACCGCTCAATTTCAAAGCCGGCGGTTTGTTGAAACCCAAGACCCCCAAATCCTGACGTCAAAATCCGTGAACCCTGCAACTGCGGGCCTCGTCCTTGCGAAGTAGGATGGAAAAATCCGTGAACCGGAAGGCCCAGACCCTAAACACCCTAAACCCCCAAACCCACCTAAAACAAAACAAACCCTAAATCGACCATGGACATGGAGGCAACATTCACTGCGCATATGGTGCTGACATCAGAGGAAGCCGCGCCACCAATCGCGATGACCATGATCGGCAACATCAACTGTGCACATGGTGCCGACATCGGAAGACGACGCTCCGCGTTGCTGCTCGTTCTGCTGGTGCTGCTCAAACTGATGTGGAGGGTTCAGCGGGACAGTTGATGCGATATTGTCAGTACTGACATTACTGGTAAAAGGGGTTCAAGAAAACAGAGGCTCCAAACACCCAGAGAAATTGACCTTAAGCTTAAATCTGAGAAATTGACCTTAAGCTTAAATCTCATACTCAAAGACTGGACCCCAACTGTTCTCACTAGGCCACCCCTGTACCCCAGGGCATTCCCGCCCTAAGGTCCAACCTCCTCTATAGTTTGCCTTTCTCCATAGGAGTGGTGTAAAGCTTGAAGGTGGAACTTGTACAAGGTTCCACACACAGATCACGGCAAGTACCTCAACCATCCCCCTTGCTATATCTTCTAGGGCCGTTAAGCGGTACCCTATGCCCTGCGATGTGATCTGCCGTTTGTAGCCCTCGAGATCCTGCTTGGGGATCTCGCGGGGGCAGATTGAAAGCATGAAGTTCGTGTCTTGGACTGCGTTTGCGTTCTGAATGTTGTTGCAACTCCGTACCTCTAGATTTGTCTCACTCAACAGACTCCGAACCACATGCTTCGCCCCCGAGTGGGAGCGCCGAAGCCGAGTGAGCGCCAAAACCCCAAGAAGTGGCCAGGCAAAGGCGGCTTGCAAGCACTTGCTCTTCGTCTTCCTGCGGGTGGCTCCTGAAACTTCGGGGAGGGGTTCAAAGTATATGGGAGTTTCCGAAATTAGGGGTACCTTATCTTGGGGTCTTTACAAGAAGGATCCTACAATTTAGAGTGCTATGTTAGGTATGCGGATCCTTTAAGGTTTCCTGTAGTTACGGAAGGGTGTTGGGAAGGGCCTGGTTTTTAGGGTTGAGCGGGCCCGCCGTGTCTTCACAGCTCTCTGAAGCGCTGACATGCGAAAGCCTCACGATGCGAGGAGCTGCACCCTGCATTTTTTCCGAATGGTGTGAACGTAGGTGTGAAGCTTGACCCTACACGGCATGAACTTGAGTGAGCGATCCCGCAGCAAACGCACTTGACACATCCAGATACCGACGCGAAATTCCGTGAGGTGCCCCAAAAGAGCTTGACAGCCTGGGGCAGCTCTTTTTTCCAATTTTTAAGTTTGAGTGCACGCACAACGAATCAGCCAGGTTCTGCGGATACCGGATGATGCAGATGCCTTAGAAGTTGTTCGGGGTAGTTCTCCCGCACTGAGAACGGGTTTGACAGCAGAACGTCCTCAAGAAGAGCTGCTCAAGCTACCATAAAGTCCGGAATGGTTACTGTACAAATTATTACTTAAGGGTTCCTGCTATGTCAGACTATACTATACTGTGCCCCAACACCCTATGCATTCAAATGACTAACATTATTGCGAACTCATTCAAAGTTGGTACCGCGGCCACTCATCCCTCGTTTAGCCCTGAGCCTTTAAACCAAAAAACCGTCTCCTGGAAGCAACCCCTTACCATGGGCGACGGGCGCAAAGGGCGCCGTCTTACTTTCCCGGTATTCTAGCATGTTCTGACATTTACGATGATTCCATGGGGTTGAGGGTGGGGATGATGACTTCCGTTCCAGCGGCTACCATGCCCAAAACACCGGTATTTGTCACACATCATGTAACACACTGGCTGAAGGAGGGTGTTTGACGTTGACGCCCTGTCGTGCCCTGTCGCGAGCATGCCCAAACTGCCAAACTGCTGGTATTTTACAGAGCTTCGCCGTATTTTTACCGCATGCTGCAGAAAGGATGCTTGACATTGCCGGTATAATGTGCCCTGTACCAGGCGTCCGTGCCTTGTGCGAGTATGCCCAAAATGCTGGTATTTACAGCGTTTCGTCGCTTTACACATCATACTGCCGATGGATGTTTGACATTTCCATTCTGGCATAAGACGCACTACTCCAAGCATTCATGCCTTGTGCGAGCATGCCCAAAACGCAGGTATTTACAGCAGTTTTGCCTTTCCACAACATGGTAGTGCACAACGGTATTTTGATGGCGATGCTGAGGAAGAGGATGATCACTAAAATCATGATAAAAGCTGAGTGAAATCCTGTCCAACTTAGAATCGTTTCCGGCGCGCTTGTTTCCGCCACTGTTGAGAGTGCAAAGTAACATGGCGCCTTGTGCCGCTCCCTGATAGTATAAGCTTAAATCCGAAACCACCTGCCTCACTTGGATTGTGCGAGTGTGATCGGTTGATGATATAAATCCTGCATTACCTTAAGGACCCTAAACTATGGGAATTATGGTATATTCCTTAATATGGGTAATGCAGGATTTATATCATCAACCGGATCCGAAACCGACTGTTGGGCCGGCTCAGGACCCAAGACTGTGGCAAAGGGCTTTGATTCCGCGGGAGCTCAGCGACTTACGCTCGCGCCCGGGGCCCGGAGACGGCAACTCCAAGTAGGAATGCGGCACAAGTGTAGGTGTTGGGATTCTTTGAGGGTTTTCGGTTGAGTCCGGAGGGGAGAGAGGCTAGTTCCAGTCAGAAGGATGGTAGCTTCCAGAGTATGGATCTAGTTCTCTCTCTCTCTCTCTCCCTCCCTCTCCCCCACCTTTTGTCATTGCATTGGTGACGGAATTGGGGTACGGAGCGGCGCTTGGTCGCACGCCCGCCGGTCCAGGGACCCGAGCAAAGGGGCATGGGAATGGCATGGGTATATTCGGGGTATAATGCAGGACTTCAAGCACAGTACCCCAAAGCCCTTTTCAAATTGTTAAGACCCCACACTGTACCCACATCGTTACCCTCTTAAAGCTCTCTCGCGGAACCCTATCCTAATTACAACAACACTGCAGTTGTGCATGCTAAGCGGCGAGGCCTGACCAGTGGCAGCCAGCTCCCGGTCGAAGTGCGGCCCCCAGATGCCTCCCGCAAGCAACGCTTAGCTCCGCTTCAACTTATAACACAGTGTAATGTAGTGTTTTTGCAGCAGAATACGACAGAACAGACCACAATATACCGTGACATGCGAGAATATAGATGCTTAGGAACGTACAGAGTCATTTCGTGTCATGCACGTGCAATCGTCATGTGTGCTGGCATTCCAACAGGTCCAATGCTTCAAAAAGGAAGCGAATGTTTATATAGGGCAGCCCAGTCCTTTTGCACCCAGCGTTTGCCTAACCCTAAGCCTTTCGTCTACTGCACATCAACCCCCTAAACCCCTTTCAAGCTGCCCTAAAGCTAGTAAAGTATATGATCCAAGATCAGATAACGTGATGTGGCAGTACGTAATGTAGCAGAATACAATACAACCCTAAACCCTCAACCCTAAGCCACTATCTTGCAACCATATAGTATGTTGTGGCAGGCTTTCCAGCTGAACAGGAACAGAGTCTGGGTTCATATAGTATAAAATAGGGGCCTTAATGATTGCCCATATGTTTCTGGGGGTTCCTTCTCACAGGTTGGTATGACATGATGGGCCCCAAAACCATATTCTAATTATCAAGGCCCCTACATCATACCCCTAAACGAGAAATGCTGAGCGAATGACACTAATATAGTACCCTAAGTAGCAGGATCCTTATTACAAGGATCCTAAAGGAAGGTATAGTATAATATTTTTCAGTTCCACTATACAGAACCCTACGGTAGATGCCTTATAGAACCCTTTAAGGAACCCTCTAAAGGAACCCTATACTACCCCTAAACAGGAAGGTATCCCTAAGTTTCGGAAACTCTAGACCATTATAGATCCCTTTATAGGAACCTTTACAGTCTCCCTTGAAAGGAACCCTAAGGTACCTCTAGCACGAGTGACAAAAAAGGGTACCTCTAAGTTTTCGGAAGCCAGACCCTTTATAGAGCCCATTTCAAGGAACCCTTTAAAGGAACCCTATGGATCCCTTTAAAGGTACCCCTAATTTTCGGAAACCCCACACCCCTAAACCAGACATGCTGAGCGCTGCGAGATGCGAGGTCCAGGCCCCTCCTGCCGTTCGGGGCCCGGTCGCGCGGACTTCAACATCGGAGTTTCCGAAACTTAGGGGGGTTCCTTTAAAGGGTTACTATAAGGATACTATAAGGGTTCGTATAAAGGGCCCTATAATGGTTTAGGGTTTCCGAAAATTAGGGGTACCTTATTTTGGGGCCCCGATAGTAAGGATCCTACTATTTAGGGTACTATATTAGGGTCCCCTATTTTCGGAAACCCCCACATGGACTGACATCACACGGTCTACTTTCGCACCCTTGTCGATTGTTATAGTATAATATAGCATATTATGGTCATTATGGTCTGCTCTGGTCAATTATGGTATACTTATAAAAAGTACAAACTAACTATAGTATATATGTGTTTAGGATTTAGGCCTTTCAGAACCGTAACTGAAATTACAGTGCAGCCTGGTGTCGCAACCATCATGTCAACCGAGGTGTCGGTGTCAATTGTTGCTTCCGGAGAAATCCCAATAGGAAGTTCCCCCGGTAGTTCGGAGGAGAAGAGGGCCCAGAGAGGTGCAAGGCTTCACATTGACCCAGGGTTATTATGGTGTCGACTTGCCACGGGCTTGAACGCAGACGTCTGCCGGCATTTAGAGAAGGGATGCTTTCGTGCTGTGGACGGCATCTCTTGGTATCTGTTCGTCTCCTAAGCGTGCGAGTGCTGAGGGTTAGAAAGGAGATCTGGCATGACCCGCTGGTGTCAAGGCACAACTCTTGCAAGCATGGGGATGACCTGCATGCTGCTAGGAGAAGAACCACGGCCCATCAATTTCGAGGACCCCTAGACCTAGAGCAAAAAGCCAGAGGCTTGTCGTGAATTGAGGTATCCCTGCAATTTAGCTTGATATCTGGAAGCACATATGCAGCACATGGACGCGGCGTCTGCTTGTTTCCCAATAAGCCCGACAATTAGTGGCAAAGGGGCCTATTGCCGAATCCAGTGTTTACATCACCATTGCAACTGCACGGCGCCATGGCTGACGTCGTGATGACGCCAGCGCTGGCCTCGGAGGAGGACTGGCAATCCCGCTGCACCAGATGCGCCTTGCCTCCTTCATGGCTTTAGGTTTTTAGAAAACCTTGCACTTTGAAGCCTGATCAGTAAGCCCTGTTTAAGATTCGTGGAATAGCAAAAGGGGCGTGCGCAAAACTTCCCTAAGCCCTCATTCATTGGTTCAGGGTTCCCGAGTTAAAACGGGTTGAGGGCCATTGACTAATTTTGACATCCCCGCTCCAATGCGGCGGCTACGAGACTTCCCCTGTCCTGTTCTGTCACACTTTTTGTTTAAACTAGGCGCCTATGTGATTAGATAGGTTTTGTGGTACATGTCATCATTGTCGATGTTGAAGCAGGAGCCCAAGAATATCGGCACATTACGTCCGCAATCCCAAAGCCGAATAATATGCATGGAGAACCCCCCAAAGCCAAGAGCCTTCGCTGAGGCAGAGCAACGGTGGAGGCCTTTTGTATCGGTTTGGGGGTTTGGGGCCTCCGGTGCTAAGATGAAGCGGCTTCGGACTTGGGCATCGAGCTCCAGGATTATGGTTTGATAGCTGGTATTACTAACTCTTCGGTGCAAGAGGGCTTGGGGGTGAGGATCTGGGCACGAAGGCTGGAGTGAGCATGTCAGAGCCTGCAGACCTGCCATTAAAGGTGACTTCGACTTGGCTGGGATCAGGAACCAAGGGTTGCCTGAGCCGCACGGCGGAAGCAATCAGGAACCCTGGAGCGTCCGAGTTGCGAAAGTCCAAATCCCTATGCCCTCTACTATGCCCCGAAATTCTAAGAGACTCCGCAACTTGCATGGCTACCGCTTTGTCTCTGCAGGGCCTGCTGAAGAACAGGCAACCGAAGGAGGCTCTTGCGGAGGCGCTGAAGGAACCTCCTTACGGCGCTTCGGCAATGGTGTAGGAGCCATTTTGACTCCGATGCCTGTGATACTCAACTGATTCAGTGATGATGAAAGCTGAAGTTGAACTGTTGTTTAGGCGCGTGTGTTAAAGGCTGCAGGCCTTGTGTGGGAGAGTTTTACGAAGTCTTCATTTGCTTAGAGTGTGGTGTTCGCCGACTTCATACAAACTAAAGTAAGCTTGGCTTGAGCCGGGGGAGGTTTCCCGCCCGCATCGGACTATCAGGCGTCCCTGATGCACATCCGGTGTAGCACACTTCGAGGGCAAAGTCTGTCATTGCCTGCGGGCCTGGCACATGCTTTGAGTTCCTGCACTCTACTTTTGTTGATCGGGAGTTGCTGCTCGTCACTCGTCCCAGAGTCCGAGCGTAGTAGTGGCTGTAGGTGTTTGCTGTAAGTACATCGTTGAGTCTCGAGCTGGCTAAGATAGGGGCATTACGAAGAACAAGAACGATAATAAGAGTAATAATAATAGTAATAATATCTTTTTACATATTATTTTGGGGGGTTTCTCATGATAACATTATAGTATAATAGACCCCCAAACCCCATTCTAATTATGAAGGCCACTATAATAGCATCTTGGCGCTCCATGCCTGAGTGATCGAAGCCATAGACTCTGAGACCTCAAGGGTTCAGGGTTCTTGAACCCTGGGAGCCGAAATTTCGCAAATGATCTTTCCCCTAACCCTTGCCCTAAGGCTCAAAATAGCCCAAAAGCCTTATATAGTATGGTCTTTGGGCCCAAAAGCCTTATAGTATGAGTCCTGAGAGCCCTAGGGTTGGGGTGTGTTCGGTTCGAGGGAAAGTCGAATCCAAGCACTGCTAGCTGCTAGGCGCCGTTGTCGACCTTCGACAGATTATGTCTTAGTACTAGTAGCTGGGTGAGTACACGACACGTTTTGGTATCATGTCATCCCCTGCAGAACTTAATTAAGATCTACATTTGTTTGAGCTTATGAGCTCAACAACTGAGATGTCGCAAGTCGCTGCAAGCTGCAAGAGCCAGCCTTCCAGCATGATATAAAGGTGCCACAGTGAAGACCCGGGACGAGGCTGCCAAGACGGTTTTACAAGTGACTTGGCTTGAATTTATCCATACTTGGAGGTTCATGGGTAGTAAACAGTGGGGTTATAAGTATGGTAACTATATTTATAACTCATATTAGGGGACTTATAACACCGCCAGACCATTCACGCAGTTTGCTGAGGTCATTTGTTTCGATCCTCTCGCCATTCGTAGTTGCAAGATTCGCTGCCCTTACAAAGAAGAAGACAAAGAATGTTATCATCAGTATTTAACAGTGTTAATAATGATTAATAAGTAATAAGACTACGAATGAGAAAAAGAAGACTAAATAGTAGTAACGCGAGGTACTACGGTGCATTAGGGATGGTAGCAAGGGTCTTGGTGGCAGTTGCCGCAGCAAAGGCCATGTCGTCCTTCCGGGAGGCTCCGCGCTCTCCGGATGTACCCTAAACCCTAAGCCCTTCTCGGGATCCTTGCGAGTCGAAAAAGGGCCGTTCAAAAAAAAAAAAAAACCTAAAGGGTTTGGGGTTTTTAGGGTTTAGGGAGGGTACACCTTTGGCCTCGTGGCAGGATGACGGCTTCGGATGTTCGGTCAAGTCATACCTTAACCCCCCAAATAAACCACCTTTGAGGAAAATCACAATAAGGAGCCCGGAGACGAAAGACAGCGCGTGCAGGCAGAGATCAAGGCCGCCGCAGCATCTTTGAGCGAGGACGCACAGCCGCTTGGCTGCACGGAAGGCAGCTTTTTGGTAAACCAATTGGGAGATGTTTACCAACTTTTTGCTGGTGTGTGTCCGTGTGTCCTTTTTTTTGTTTTGTGTGTGTGTGTGTGTGTTTGTGTCTAGATTTTCCTCTTCGCCTGATTTTTACACACATGTTTGCAAATTCCACATATATACAAATGCTTGTACCGCGCAAGTCCATGCGTAGGCCCAGGCGGAGGAATGCTGAGGATTCAGTTACGGGGATGAAGTTCAATCGTTTGGTGTTGTATGCTCCCAGCTGTGCATGCGACGTTTTGAGCCCTGAGTCATGTTGTGAGGTTGCCAGGAAATCTTTCGGAGAAAGCAGAGACAGTTCACACATTCAGATACGAAGCTGACCTCATCTCAGCGCATGCCTCGACCAGTCTCGAACGACGATCACTAAACTCCTGAGCCCTATACTATGCCTGCTTTGAGCTCTCGACAGCCCCTGCGAACTCCGAAGCATGGTGTCCCTAAACCCTAAAACCTTAACCCTAAACCCTCAAGGAACACGCTCATGAAGTACCTGTACAAGCACTCGCCTCAGACGGGTTCTGGCTGTTGCAGAGCCGGAATCCTCCCCCAGTTGTTCTCTGTGGTGGGAAGGACATGTACTTTACCCTAAGGCCTCATAGTAGTTCCTTTTTGGGGTTCATATGTAGAATCCGAGAAGGTAATCCCAAAAAGGAACTACTTTGGGGCCTTAGGGTAGATCATTCGTCAACCCCTTAATGCGGGAATGCGTCACGCAGCGCAGTAGTTTCGCAGCTGCTTCGGCTTTGCTGGTAGTTGACGTCGTGGTTTTTCATGGCCTGACACCGTAGACTTGGGATTTTGGGATGGCTGCCGATACTATTTTGGGGGGGTTCTCATTAGAACTATAGTATAATGGGCCCCCAAACTTCAAACCATATACTACAATTGTGACACTAATTACTCAGGCCCCTATATTGAACCCCATAATATCCCTTATATCCCTTATAGTAACCCTTATAGAACCCGTTTTAAGGACCCTCTAAAGGGACCCTTTTCCAATCATGAAGGCCCCATACATTACCGAGGTTCTGGGGTCAATCGCTACCTGCCCGCACGAACCAGCAGCTCTTCACTTGGCACTCTTCCCTCGTGGAACTCCAGGCGCCCAGCCACCGCGATCAACAGACTGCAGACTGTGTCCTTTGTCCAAACAGGTACGCTTGTACATGTTTGTATCTCTGTTTTATGTGTGTGTGTGTGTATGTATGTATGGACATATATATATGTATATATATATATATATATACATATATATTTATATGTCTATATAGGCATACGTTTGTGTAGCACATTATGTTACAAAAGGACGGCTTCTAGCGGCACGTGAAAGCAACTTGAAGCCTGCGTCATTTGTGATCGTGAAACGTCCAGGCACAGTCTGTGAGATCGTGGTATAACTTCTTTTGTGCCTGGCAGACCGAAGGAAACTACTGACCTGGAGCTCTGTAATGCAGGATGGCAAGGCGATGATTGTCAGTGTCACTCAGTAGTCGTCGTCGCCGCAACATTATCAGAGGTACTACCAGCAGCAGTAGCAGGGAGGAAGGGGAAGAAGAGCTAGTGGTCGGCTTCGCTGCTTATTGAGCGTGTCGCTGGCACTCTCCTCAAACATGAACCTGCCCCTATACCCTAAACTGCCGAAGCCTTGAAACCCCAAAATTATTCGAGTGCGAGCGCCGAAACCTTAAACAACTGAAGCCCTAAGCCCTTGGGAACAGAAGCCTCAAACCGTTTCTCGGATCCTTGCGAGACGAAACAGGGACTTTATAAGTAGGGTTAAAAGAAACAAAAGAAAGGTATCTACAGTTATATCTACTTCTAACCCCAATTAAGGTACTTATAGCCCTGCTTACTACTCAAGTAGAGCCGCCCTTTTCAGGCTGGGCCGGGCTCCATCGCAGCTCGGCAGACCCTTCAAGCTCCGAATGCTTTGGGGCTGCTATAAACACAGGCCACAATGCGTACACAATGTATTTCAGGGGTAAATTTGCATACTAGCTACTACTCATTGCAGCTTCAGTATCGCTGATTTCAGATCGTGGAGGTTTTGGATGAGCTTTTTCATCTTGTTGTAGCTTGTGGATCCTGCGTGGTTCCACTTGAGCTGCTGTGGCCTGCTTTGAGCCTTTCTGGGTGTTTGACGCCCGGTGCAGCAGTTTTCTTACCAAACCCTGTAAACTGTAAACCAAGAAGAAGCAGCACTGCTTGTACTAGCAGGAGCCATGGGCAGCTTCGGGCAGAGAGGTTTGGAAGCTTGAGTTCCAGCCTGCTTTGCCTCAACTAAAGGTTCAGTTAGGCGATGTGTGAGTTAAACACGTCTCCCTATAAAGCCGATTCTACTTGTAAGTCTAAATGTCGGGCGCCTGACTTAGCACTGTCATTTGTGATATCCAAGTTTCAGTGTATCGCAGAGAGAGACTCCCAAGCCGGCTACCTCTACAGAGCATTTGTAAAGCCTACATCGAACTCCCAGCCTCAGCGTACTAGCGAACCCTTTCCAAGCTACACTGATGATGATGACCACGACATGGTGACTAAAGCTACTTTCTAGAATTGAGAGCACGGTCACGAGGGAAGCCCCCGAATCCGAAGCAAAGCTCACGACCTGGCCGAAGACGTTGCGGCTGTGCAAATGTCTTTTGCTGATGATCGGCTGATAGACTTACCTTTGGTTAGTAGGGAATGGGAGAATGGTAGTAATAGTAGTTATTATTGTACCCCACTCCTCCATTCCCTACTAACCAAAGGTAAGTAGACCCGAGGTCAGAGCCATCTATGATTGGAACTGGCCGTGAGCAGCGGCTGCCACAACTAGCTCAGAAACAGATCGACTTTTCGGCGAGTGCTTCCACATCTCAGGCACTCCACCACTAGGCGCACACATGTGAACTGGCAAGCATCATAGTCATAGTATTAGTCATAGTCGGCAAGATGTCATCCCCGGCCAATAGTTGCGATGTGGTGCATTTAGGTCTGATATACTCGCCGGATTTGCGGTTCGGAGATTTCGCTTCATGCTGTCAGCCTGTCCCGACTGGGAGTTGAAGACTCAATGTCCATCCCTCGGGGTGTAGGCGATCAATGCCGTGCGGCCGTGCGCGATGCGGAGACAAAAAGCATCTCAAGTCAAGGGGGCCAGTGTGGAATGCTTAAAAAAATTGAAGCTACCATGAGCTACCCGGAAGTCAAAACCACCTCTTGGTGTGCTACTCTACTGAGCTTGTGCATGCTGCATGGCCTTATGTCAGTAGTTCGCCGGCCTCCACAAGTGGTTGTTGCAGAGTTTGGGCACGTGCACGATTTTGGAACTTTGGATGCCATACCTGTTTGGGTGAAGTTACGGCCTGCTTAGCCATATCAGCACGCTATCAAGCTCCGACAATGGTCCAGTCGAAGAAATGCAGAACCTGCGATTTCTGCAGGGACCCTCGACAGGTGTGTCCGTGTGTCACTGCCGGCAAGACCCAAATTATCCGTAAAAGCCTCTAGCTATCTGGTAGCTCAGGTCATTTCTGCTTGCCGCAGTGCGGGCCCTGTAGTGCGACAGAGTCCCGGAGCGCCCGGGCCCCAGCCTCCGGCATCGATGACTTCTTGAGTTTAGGGTTTGGGGGCTCAGTGGTTTGTGTATCCGGCGAAGGCCGAATCTGCTGGAAGGGGTCGCGGTGCCAGGAGACCGTAAAGCAATAATAAGCCCTTGAAGCCAAAGCCGCAGGTGGCTTTAAACCTGATGAGACCGACAACATCTCGATAAACCCCGTTACGCAAGTGCAAAAATAATACCCCCACAACATCCCAAAACCCCGTTCAGATTATCGAAAAAATCTACGGCGCCTTTACGGCACTCAGACTACACCCAAAACCCCGCAGCGGAGGCCGTGTCCGGTTTGCTTTGACCCAGTGGAGACTCTGGCGGGTGCGAGCTGCTGCTCCGGCTGCGGGAGGAGCTCTGTAGCTGGTTGGTGTCGGTCTTTCGAGGTTTAGTTTGTGGACTTGGTTTGGTTTAGTATGATATACCAATGCTTTGTGATTCTCTAGTACTATTGTATGTTTAAGGCTGTTAGTTAAGGTTTTTATAATGGTATTATAATTATGTATTAGCCCTGTTCTATCATATCAGAATCTTAGAATCATTAGATGCTATTGTACCTTATGTGATGTTACTGTTGCATTACAACCTGGTTGCATGCATCAACTGATACATACATGCTTGCAACATCCGTTGATGCATGCGCTTGCGAAATGCCGCCTCCCTGTCCTTAGGGCTTTTTGCTTGAGTCTTCGGAGATTGGAGCCTCACTTGGGGATACCAGGGGAAACCAATACCCTGTCATTGAGCAATGTGCTAGGTATCCTTCTAGAAGGATCTACGGTACCCGTAGATGATCTGGGCAACTGGGCGTTCTTGGTGAGTGCTTTTCAATTCTTGTCTCGCGTGTTTTTCGAGCAGCCCCGTCCAGGAATCTACACACGGAGTGCCGATGCCTTGGTGATAGTGATGATCATTGTGCTTCGGGTTGCCTTCCAGACCAGGTCTTGCTCAGTGGCGCGAGGCCACTGGCGAAACACTGCCGGAAGGCGTGCCGGCCAGCGAGTTGGTGACGAGGCTGGGGTGAAGCAGTTGGCTTGAGTGTCCAGGTTTAGCGTCAAGGGCTAGGCCTTGTGGGGTTCACGGGTCATTGTCAGGAAGTGCCTGGCCGCAGCAGGACGAAGGATGCAATGCAAGCTTGCTTGCTTGCGCAGTAAAAGTTGGCGACAATGCCAAGCGCCCATCTCGGAAATCCACCCAAAACATTTCAGTGCCCAACTTAAACTTGTTGCAACCAGCACATAACGCCCGATCATCTGATCTCATGTCTCATTCTCACTTCTATTGGATTCTAGCTACATCTGACAGAAAGACGCAGAGTTCGGTTTAAGCTTCACAGCGCTTCAATGTAGGCTCTCTGGGAAGTTTCTCGAATTGCGAGCGCCAGATCCACGCGGAGCTGCCCCCTCTGCCGCGGCAGCCAAAGCTCAACAGCCGAGGAAACCGACAAGTTGCAGGCAGGGATTGGGGTTGAAGGGTTTTCCTTTTAGCTTCAGATTTGGGTATAGGGTTCCAGAGTTTGGTCCTGGCGTCGTGGGGTTTGGTCAAGATATCTCTTACACCAAGGGGCAGCATGAACAATCTTGGGCCTATGCGTGATGCCATGGATGTTCATAAAGCAGGTCCTAAGTAGCCCGAAGTTGAAAAGACGTTGAGGGCTTGGACGGTCAAAGAGGCATTGACCTTGTTTTCTTGTTCAGCTTGGGCCGAGGACTCCAGTAGGGCCAGCTTCCCTGGTATAGAGGTTTCTGGATCTGTTTTGATACAGGGGGCTGGAAGAACGTATGGATGAGGCTTGTCAGGTGTCGCACACTTAGCATCCCGGGTCTGCCAGCATCCAGGTGCTGCAGGAAGCCCTTGCCGCTACAAAGGCTCGGGGCAGGAAGAGCCGAGGGTTCTGTTATGATCGACTCCTGTCTCTAGTCAGACTAGGCTTGCGAGACCAAGATGGACAAGTTCAAGCTTTCGCCCCCCCGAAACCCCTAAACCCTGAGGCGACCCTGAGCCCTATAAGCCCGAACCGTTCGTCAAGTGCCACCCAAAGTGCCAAAGAGACTGGAGGCCGCTCCGGGGCAGCCACTCCGGCGGCATCTGAACCTGTCCGCGACCAAGAGCATGGCAGAGTTCTGCAAACCCAAGCCTTGCTGAGTGTAGGTTTAGGGGTTTCGGGTTTAGGGTTTTTGTAGGTACTGATGATACTAATTTCGCTAGTTGCTGTCCATCTCACGGCCTTTGTGCGCACTCAAGCAGCTTAGGTCAGCAGTTTCTGAACTGCATTCTGCACCATACTCGCTGGAGGACCGTTGAGTCATGCTTGCTTTTGCCCTACTCAGCGCCAGACAGCATGGACGATGGCATCGTCAACGTGACCTGACAGGCGGCAGCCACATTGGCTTACTCCAAACCAAAACCCTGAACCCCAAACCTGGCGAACGGAAAAGGGAAGTCCAAAAAGACTCTGAAACTCTAAATCCTATATAGATACATGACGCGAGCCAAACCCAAATTGCATTCACTGGCCGGCAATGGTACCAGCATTGGGGGCTCCAATCCTGCATGAACCTGAAGCTAAGACTATGTATCTAGATGGTGGTATATGCTTGTATTATTCTTCTCATCATTCTTACTAGTCTTAGTTTTGAAGTACTACTCTTAATTACTATAATCACTAGCTGTGTCACGATTCCAGTGCCCGAGCATGTGCCCCAATGTGGCGGAGACTGCTGTCCCACACTGCGAATCGACACAGCAGATGGTTCCTTGCTTTGGGTGCGTCTCGGCGGCCACAAGATGTCGCGTTGAAGTCCGTCTGCACGCAGAGACAGAGATGAAATGTGCAGAGGCTGTCCTTTTACAAACCCACCAGGACGAGAACAGACGGCACAAGCCCTGGTTCGGGAATTAGGTGTCTGGATTTCCCCGTAGCTATAGAAGCTATTACAGAGAGGAAAGCTGCAGGACATAGCGGTCCGGGAAGCCATGGCCATGGCAGCTTCAAAGCCTCTAGTTTCAGATCTTGCCCCAAGAAACCTCCATCCCCCCGCAATCACTTGGTCGAAGCTTTGAGTTTAGATAACCGGATGGTCAAGGAAGATGCCCCTTGAAGCCCAGGTGAGCTACTGGGCCTGGTCAGACCGAGTGGTACCAGATCCTGGGATGTCCAAAACTCCTGACGGACGTCGACAGACTTAGCTCGTCTCGCTAGCAGCTAGCCGCTAGCACTGGCCGAATGTTGGGCCTAAGTAGAATCAGTAGAACAGGAAGGGTATAAGGTGCTTATTCAGGGGATGTGAAAGATTGGGGGCTTTGGGTTTTGATGTTATGGTTTGGGGCTTAGCGTTTTGGACGTCAGATGCCCAAAGCGCTAAACTTAAACGGTAAAGGTCCCAAACCCTAACTCAGGCCCTCTTGCTCCAATGCGCCTTCGTCTAACCTCGCCAGGCTTGTCCCAGTTGTGAGTGCTGAAATCATACCTCAGCAGGTGAGTTTCAACATCGTATATAGGCCTTTTAACTGCAAAAATTCCAGTGCAATCCAGCGGGCGAACATCTCCTAAGCTGACCTTGATCCCAAACGAGCTAGCAGTAATGTCATCCTCTTTTAACTGAAAAGATGCGGGAACAGTGATACGAAAAGAAAGACGCCGAGATTCTGAGCAGTATGACGGCCATAGTAGTTCCAATAGGAAGTAGTGGGAATCTTGGTATAAGCTGTTTCAAAACCTTTATAACGATAGAACATTGCAATGACAGATGGGGGAAATGGTATCACCACTGCTACTACTACTACTACTACTACTACTACTACTACTGCAACTACTACTACTACTACTACTACTACTACTACTACTACTACTACTCCTACTCCTACTACTACTCCTACTCCTACTCCTACTCCTACTCCTACTCCTACTCCTACTCCTACTCCTACTCCTACTCCTACTGCTACTGCTGCTCCTGCTCCTGCTCCTGCTCCTGCTCCTGCTCCTGCTCCTGCTGCTGCTGCTGCTGCTACGACTGCGACGACGATGGCGATGACGGCTACCACTACTCCTACTACTTCTGCTAGTGCTTCTGCTCCTCTAGTTGCCTCCCACTACAGCTGCTGCTGCTGGTCCTGCTGTTGCGGCCGCAACTAGTACTGCTCCTGAGTATCAATCGCACTAAGCTGTCATTGTGATGGTTCGTTATTCCTGAAAATAAGATAGCAACAGAGCAACTACAACAGTAGCAGTAATAGTTAGTATCGCTACCAATACAAGGTACTAGAGCACGACAGGAATAATACGAATAGCAAAACCGCAAAACCATCATAGCATATGGGCATGTCCGCGAACCCTGAACCCTTGCCTCTTTTCACACCGACTTCGCACCTAAGAACCTCGCCTGGCATGTCCGAGTTGTGAGAGCGTAAAAACCTGAACCGCAACGTCCTTGTAATTTAGAAGGCAAAAAACCCCAAACCCCCGAAACCCTAAGCCCTAAGCCAAAACAAAAAGCCTAAACCGTTCCTGGCCTTCAGGAGTGGACATGGCTCCCCGGGCCGGCTCTGCGCTCACCGCGAGTCCTAGCGGCCTCTGGGCCCCGGGAATTTTCTGAGGCCCCTTTGTTTTAGGGTCTGTAGGTATAGGGTTTTTTAGGGTCTATAGGGGCTTTGGGTTTGGGCTCTTCGCTGCGAGCTTTGTAGGCTCTTTCGGGATTTGGGGTGCAGGATGGTATAGGGATTCCGCTGTTTAGGGTTGTCTTGTTCGTGTGAGAGAGAGAGAGAGAGAGAGAGAGAGAGACAGAGAGACAGAGAGACAGAGAGACAGAGAGACAGAGAGACAGAGAGACAGAGAGACAGAGAGACAGAGAGAGAGAGAGAGCTGCGTCCCGCTTTTTACTTTTCAGACCGGCCACAATGTGCCGCACGTGGAGCCGGAACAACATGCCAGGTTTTTGAGGTATATGTTCGCTGTGAGGTACAAGGGGGCAAGCTCCAAGTGCAAATGCATGGGCATGTTTCTGGTTGTCGAGCTGTACACCTCATAGCGGGTAGCCACAGGGGGGCGACGAGGCGGGTTGGGGGTGACCTAGTGTTCGGGGATGGGGGTTACAGCTCGAAAATCTGAAACACACTCAGTAGCAAGTACAGCGGTCAGTGGCACCCCAAAGCCGTCCACTCAATAAAACAGGGGGTGGGCGGGCGGGCTGAAAGCCTGAGGGTCACGACAGTAACCCCTAAGCCCGGCAGAAAGAAAAGAAAGAGAGAGAGAGAGAGACGCAAGCAAGCAAGAGAGAGAGAGAGCGAGAGAGAGCGAGAGAGAGAGGGTTGTCTTTGTTGTAGGCTCTTGCCGATTCCGGGGCCTTGGCTTTTTCGCGCTTACCCGAATTACTGTTCCCTGTCAGGCACCAGCATCGCCGGAAATTGAAGGCGAAGCTGGCACAACTCCAACGCAGACGGAGGCAGATCCGGAGGACCTTGCTGACGGCCATGTCACGAAGTGAACGGTGCTCCTTTCCATCCCTTCGCGAAGAATGTTGGGCGTTGCCGACCCATGGCCGTGAGGAGATTCTGCGTCAGCTGGAGGAAGCTGGAGTTTTCGAGGGGCAAGATGCCTGGCTCTAATAGTCTAGTGACGGGCCCGAGCCGTAAATCCGAGGAGAGCCCAAGACAAGCCCTGAGCGCTGAATTCTGCAGCCACAAATCGCAAAGCCTTGACATTTCAAGAAGTGAAACCGTAAGACCCTCAACGCCCAACCTCCGTTAGTGTTGTTGTTATCAATACTCAGTACTTTTATCATGAACTCAGCTTCTTACAATTACCATTGTCAATGCAGAAGGGGAAAAGACTTAAACTACATCGCACCACAGGTCCATGGTAAAACAGCAAGCAAAACCCCAACCTGCTAGCCCAGGGATATAGATGCCTGAATAAATATCAATATTGTTCCGTACAGTTCCGTTATATAGGTATACAGCAATATTCCCGCAATAGTCCCAAGACCTTTTTCAAACTTTTACAGAGTTATCACAGCACCTCTGTATCAGCAAAGAAGTTCTCGCAGAGCCCGGGTCGAACTTGGCGTTCAGGCTTCGGACGATAAAGGGTCTGGAGGCAGCCAGATTCAGGATTCCGGGCGTAAGCCCCGGACAGGAACGACCAGTGACCTGTAGCGAGGGTGAGGTAAGGGACCCTGGATTCACGTCGTTCCCTTTTTGAACCTCTTCGCCCCAAGCCTGTGCGACACAAGAAACCGAAGTCCTAGACGGTCCTACACCTTGAATGCTGCCCAGGAGGAGGTATTACTTCAGCTTCGCAAGCTGGCCAAGCAAGGAGCGCATGCAAGGGAGGGTCCGAAACAACTCCTGCATAGAGAAGTTGGCATTCCTTCGCGAGCAGTGTTGATGATTTTGATCATGCTGATCGTGATGATGCTTCTGCTGCTGACTGGCTGCTGATGATGATGGTGATGATGACGATGGTGATGTAAGGCTGCTTGTTTATTTATATCTCGTCATAGTGATAGTGCTTCAGCAGTCGGAACCGTAAGACGCAAACTCACCGCATGCTTGAGAGATTCAGGGAGATTGGTCATGTGCGAAGGAGTTCATCCCCTCGATGCGCTCGCCGGAAGCGCAGTGCCCGAGGACTCAGTCGGTGAAACTCTCCACTTCCCCATCACTACAGTACTGAAAGGGTCTGACAGACATGTTACGGTGAGTATGTCGTAGTAAGGGCTATAGACCTAGGCCGTAAGAGTCGAAAGCATGAACCCCGAAACCCTAAAGACCCTAAAACCCTAAGACCCTAAAACCCTAAACCGTAGCCATTTTGGCTCAAGGAGGGGACAGCGGGGACCGCTGGTGCTCCATGTGAGCGAACCCATGCTTCTCCTCCTCACTGCATCATTGCTGCCCGGGTTGGCCATTTGGGGCCACTGGGTCGAAGCATATGACAGAGGATGTGGTGCATCCCGACAGAGGCTTTTTCACAGGACGGGCCACTGTGTGCTGTCTTGCGATGGACAAGCTTTCCAGTGATCGATGTCGTCATCATAGTTGCTTTTGCCTTCGCTGTACTGTCAGGGGTTGCCTCTTTGTTTGAGCAACTGATGTCAATCCGCCGGGACCTTAAGATCTTGAAGCAGTGGATGGCGTGTGCCGACCGTACGATCCAAGGACTGGGCGGTGACATGAAGGCCTGTTCTGAGACAATCGTAGGCGGTGGCAAGAGATCTAAAATCGATGTTGAATTGCGGCGCATCAAGGACAGTTTCGTAGAGCCTTTGAAGGAAATTCATTGCTCTATCGTCAGAATTTGGCGGCAGAATGAAGCTGCCATGTCGCATCTGAATGACTTGTCTCTAGGGCAAGTCGAGGTCCGCACCGCACTCAGCGCTGTCCAGGTGGGTGACAAAACGGATGATACAACAGCGTACATTGCTCACCGCATTGGTGAAAACAGGGTCCGTGGGAAACTGACCAGAGTGTCGATTCCATTGCATGATCACATCAAGATTGCTCCATGGTTGGGTGAGAGGGGCATTGTCTCAGAAGTCACTGGAGGTATTATTGGAAACTCCAGAGTGCCGCCGCTCCGCAAGTACATCCGTGACCTCACCGGAAGTAATGTTGCGAAAATGACTTCTGCCCTACGCAAGGATTATCTTCTCATGGTCCATGAGGTGACGGTGGCTGCCCATGTCGACCCATCTATGGTGATTTTGGTGAGTTCTCTAACGCCTTTTGCAAACGCATTAGAGCATGAGGCTGTTCACGTGCGATTGCTGGAGGACTTCGTCAAAGCCATAGAAGACTATGATGAATGGGCTAACATTTGGAGTCACAGCCTTCAACCGCATGCCATGCTTGACGGCGTGGCTAAACCGATGGCTAAGGATTCTTTGATTTCCGCTCTTTCAGAGGTTGCACATGACTGTGGCGGCGGCATCGACATCCACGACTGGGAGGTCCTTCCAAACAAAGCAGCACAAGGGCTCACGGCTTGTGTCTGGGTTCAAGGCAAGATCGGCGGTCTTGAGCCTGGCGTTTTGATAGCCCGGCTTGCTGCGTTGTTCGATGAACCGGACGCTAACATCGCTCCTGAAGACATTAAGTCACGCCGAGACTTTCTCGGGGCCAGAGTGAGGGTACTGTTTGAAGGAAAACCAGACTTGAAGCCAGGGGAGGTCGCTATTTGGATCAACAACGGCGGGCTGTACATCAACCAATGCGAACATGCTGCGAACCTCACTGAGTGGCTGTGGGTGATCAATCTCGATCCTGCCACCATTGGAGGGGATATCTTGCAATGGATTCTCAATCACGAAGCCAGTACACAAGCCATGGCGAAATTTCCAAAAGCATTGCCTTTTTTCGTCTGCCGGGAAATGCCTTATGTGGTATGGCAGAATGAAGACCTCGTCGTTGCGTGGAAACCTGGAGGCTGGGTCTGTGCAGGGAACGAATTGGTTGATGGCCAACCTGACCAAGTTTCATGCCACGCCGATGAGCTTGGTATTTATGATGAGGCGGGCTTGGCTCAGTTCATCAGAGACCCAAAGGCTGTCTGTTTCATTCACTATTATATTGAGGTGGTGGTTAAAGGCCATCAGCGGCTTGAGAGACAGCACTCTTATGGGCTCGTTTCCCGCCTCGATGCCCCAGTGACCGGCCTCGTGGTGTTCGCAAAGACGCAGTCTGAATGGAAGAAACAAAAATGGATTGTGCGCCAACAGAACCATTGAAAGCTTACGCTGCGGTCGTGGAGGGCGTTTTGCTTGAGAACATCGTCGTTGATCAGGTGGACAAGCGGGCAGGACACATAAAGACGATTGTCCGACCTTTGGCATCAAATTATGGCTTGACCGCAATCTCTGTTGAACTGCACGGTGGCGCTAGGCATCAGAACAGGAATGCCTTACAGAGTGTCGATTGCCCTGTGGTCGGTGATTTCAACTGCGGATCATCGCTCTTGATGTTGAGTCTGACTTGCGTTGGGGTCACTGTCCCTTTGCGGAGTGGCATCCTTCACGTAGAAGTCCCACCTCCCTTGCGGGTCTCTCATCGGATTTCTTTGGCTGGGGCCCGCCCATTGGACCAGAAGGTCATTGTGGTGCAACCAGATGCCCTTTCGGCCATAGCAGCTGGCTCTATGCGAGAAGATTTACCGGCTGACTTTTCTTTCAGGTCCTATGAAGAACAACTGGCTTTTGTCAGGGGGTTATGTGAGCGATCACAACCTTTTCCAAGCGCCTTCATGCGGTGGTGCCAAGCTGCGTTTGAAGGCGGCCCATATAGGTGGGAGTGCTTCACGACTTCATTCCCTTTCTTGAGAGCGTGAGATGGGATTTTCGAACAGAAGCGTACTGCCACCCAAAACTCGCACCAGGAAAGAAAGCCGACATGACAGGCCTAGGGCGTGCAGTTCTGATGGTCTGCTCTGTGGACACTGAATTCACGCCATTGTTCAACAAGTTCTGCTTCGAGCTCGGACGGTATGTCGGAGCTAAGGCCGTGGCCGCGGAGTACGATCAGCGTAAGAACGAGGCCCTCCGTTGGGTTGAGTCTGGGTCTTTCGCTGAAGTTGCCCATTGGGTCAATGGCAAGAAATCACCAGGTCCTGGCCACAGGGTAGGGTCCAAGAAGGAACACGAGAGTGAAACTTCAGCACGCTACGTCCGCGAGTCTCTTGCAAGCATCGGATTTCATATTCATGACGGAAGGGTCACGTCAGATGGCACTGGTGACCTTTCCAAGCTTGATGGAACTTTCTTTGGCCTCTTGACTACTTTCATTTCGAGGGGACAACGGTCAAAACCGAAGGTGGGAGCGGCGGTGCCCATCCTCTCGCCTTACCAAGACTACCAGCTGTCGAAAGGGAGACATGACAGTCGCAACTTCGGTTTCGGAGAAATGGCAACTGCCATTCTGTGCTCTGCGCAGGCGCACTCAATCACTTGCGGTCTCCAGCGATGGGAGGATGCACCATTCGAGGTGCATCAGACGCCTTTTCCATTTGACGCGATCCGATTCTTTCTCCGTAGGCTCCATGTGATGGGGTACCCAATCGGCAACTATCGGGCCATTTACAACGGCGACAGGTGGGACCCTGCGGATTACGCCATGGCCGTCGAAGAGGTCAAGAAGCTGCCATTCAGTGTGCAAACGTTTTTGGCCAACATAATGTTTGTTACATGCGATGGGAACGCGAATAACCTCCATTCAAGAACAGACTTGGCCCACAACATGGACCGTGGCTTTGAGGAAGGCCTCAAGCAATTGGGCGTTGGAGAGCCATTGGTTGCCGAGATGGTTCATCGCATGGTTGACGTGGGTGGAAGATTTGCCATATAACGTTGAGGGCGAGGTCCTCAAACAGAAGAGTGGCAGAAAACTGCGGGAACCGGACGCTATCAGAGCGTTGGGACCACTTGCAAAGCGAGACTGGGTCGATTCCCCAGGTGCCTTCCTATCAGGGTCGACGGAAGTCCTTTTGAGAAACCTCTTCTCGAACTCCGAAGGGCAGAGCGGGTACTCTAGCTTGCACGGCTTCGATGAGATGTTGTTGTCACCTGTCATTGGAGAGGTCCTGATGAACCCTCCAGTGATCAAAGGCGGTGCCGTCTTGCTGTGGCTCAACCCACTCCCCTGGTCGCCGAGGCCCTGTGGAGTTGCATGACTTACGATGACGCCGACGAGAAGTACGCCGTTTCGTCACCGGCGCTGCTTGGCAACATCAAGTCTCTTTTAGAAGCGTTCGTTTGAGAGGGTGGAGAGGCACGGCCCTGATTGGAGCCTTGAAGGGCTGAAGACATACCTTGAGTCACTGGAGTCACTGGAATGGAATGACCAAGCCGACGACAGTGACCAGAGCCTCATCTCTCAAATCGCAGCTCAAGTGGATCCGGCTTTCCACAACCTCTGTGATAGGAACAGTGTGAGGCAGCTCATTTTGCGATGGAAGAAGCATTGACTCCAATGCAACTATGGGGATGACGCAGGGCGTCACGGCCGTTGCGCAGCCTGTGATAGACCTGGTTGTCGGGAGTCCTTTGATGTTGCTGATCCAGCTACTTGGTCCGCCTCGAAGCGAGATGCATCGATGCATGAAGGGTCCATAGGTAATATATATATATATATATATATGGTACCCCCCCCCAAAACCCACGCTTTGCTGTCAGGTAGTCTCGACTTGCCCAACTTCATCGGGGCATGGATGCAGCTGCAATAACGTTCAGGGTCTTTCAGGGCTTCTCAATTTGAGGGATTCGCGACGCGACGTGTAAGTACCTGATGCTCGAAGGGCCTCGCTGTGACGGATACTTCAGCGGATTTGCGGATTCGCAGATTCGCAGATTCGCGGATTCGCGGATTCGCAGATTCCCAGATTCTCAGATTCGCGGATTCGCAGATTCGCAGATTCGCAGAATCGCAGATTCGCAGATTGCCAAATCGCAAAGGCTATACAATCTGCGAATCTAAGACTCTGCAAATCTGCGAATCTGCAAATCTGCGAATCTGCGAATTCGCGAATCTGAAAACCTGCGACTTTGTGCCAACCTGTGAAACATCATGACATCCAGATTTCGTTTCTGTCTCAAGCACAGAGGCTGATACATGTGCGCATAAAGGAATCTGGTAGTGCCAAGGCAAGAAAAATTTGTTGTTCCGGTGTGTGTGTAAAGACCCTGTTTGCTTCTTTTCAACATAAATCCAAATAACGGCATCATTCAAAAAGTTAACCTATGTGAAAGCTTTTTGTGGCTTCTTCATGCCGGTGGTTAATCAGGTTACATACTTGAAATACTAAGTAAACATCCCATTCTATAGTGTTGTGCTTAGATCTTCATTTTCATTTGTCATGTGCCAGACTAGTTGTCTTTTGGCCATTCATCAGTCCAACTCATGTGTAGGAACCCACTATCATTGCCAAAATGAAGCCTCTAATCTGCATGCGGGCGTATCTAAATGCATGTCGGTTAAATTTTCTGCTTATATCAAGATAAGGAGCTAACCATTTCAAACGGTTTAAGCACACATTTAGTCTACTTGCGGGCAGCCTTGGTTTCGAAAATGTAGTGCTGCGGTGACTTGCAGGCCGCAGGCCACAGACATGTATAATTTCAGGGTTCGTGGGCTGCAAAACAGGCCGAACCCAAATCCCGCTTAATGTTCTGCACGCCGGGCCCAATACTAATTTCAATTCTCAGGGGTGACTCCTACAACGGGAAAGGATTAAGCCGATGTAGGGAAATTAGCTTGTCAATGGTTCTAGAAGACAGCAGGCTTCTCATCCAAATCATGTCAGATTGTGCAATGAGTCAGTTAATCAACAGCTATGTTCGTTCAAGGGGACCTGGAACCTACACCCAGGGCTTCAGGACTAGGGCTTAGGGTTCAGGGTTTAGGGTCTAGGGTCTTTAGGGCTTAGGGCTTACGATGGAAATTGAAATTTGTCTGTTTGTGTGCCAATTAAAAACACTCCTTTTCCTCTTCGATGTTTTCTCCGGAGTTTGTTTGGTTATCTGTTCCTGTTTGGCTGGCTCATACAAACAATAATTGCGGAAATACGTTTTGCGGAACTTCCAACGAAGCAATCAGTTCTTAGTAGTGGCTCTTAGTTTGAAATATTGGCCAGCACGGAAAACAATGTTTAATTTTAGGGTGGCTCAAAATATGATATAGGTGAAGAAATTGGAGAACTTGGGAAGGTGGGCTCCCACCTGCTATGAGCAGAATTATATCAAACAAATACATGTATGATGCCGTGTTAATACTTCGCTAGATTATCTTAGATATATTGTGTTCTGCGTAATTCCCAATAGCAATTGTACGAGTACTGTATCAAATTGTCTAAAATTCTATAAGAATATTTACATTTCTTGCTCCAGGGCAGACAACCAAACACTACTTCACTAGATTATCTTGCTTATATTGTGTTTTGCGTAATTTCCGAACATTATTTGCAGTAATGCTGTATCAAATTGTTCAAATATTTATAAGAATATTTATAAATCTAGTTATGAAGCAGATAACAGCAATACTTCACTAGACTATCTTGTCTACACCGTATTTTGCACACGCGTGGATAGCACATGTAGGAATGCTGGAGTGAATTATCAGGATCTTTTACTAGTTCTTGCGGGTCTTAGCGGGGGGGGTAGCATATATATATATATATATATATAATCCATGTTTGTCTAAAGTGAGCGAGGAGGATTACTCTTTCTTAGTTCCCTTTCTTTTCAACTAGATTGGGTGTCAACTTTTCTGTACTCTTGCGGTCTCATCAGTCATTATATGTCATCCACAGGTAGCTCCGCGTAGTCCACAGTTTCACTATGTACACACTAATTCAGTGCAGTCGGTAACATGCTGACATATTGCAATCCTGAAACTCATGATTGCTGCAGGTCGCTTTTCCTGGGTCGTCCTGACCCCGTACTTACTTCCCAGAATATTATAGTTCTTGATATTGTAGGGCGTTAATTCCCTTTCCCCGTCCCCAAGCGATCTGTCTGGATACTTCGCCCTGGAATCCGGTGTTCTATGCTGCTTCCAACAGAGGGATTCCAAGGAGAGGTTTCGCTGACAGGTACAGTTACTTTAATTAAGTGTTGTTATAGTTTGTTGCTGAAACGTAGTGACGAAGCCTCTTAGTGTCGTTTCACTTTGCAGACTCGAACTCATATGCCTCGCCTGGATTGTCCGAGTGTGAGCGCCGAAAACCCTAAACCTTGAAAACCAACCAAGCGAGAGCGTTAAAAAAAAATAAACACCTAAACCCTAAAAACTCTAAACCCTCAATCCCAAAAGGAGGAGCCGGAGGAGCCCGTTCTCGATTCCTTCGATGTGGCAGGCCGGGCTTATATGGGAGTTTCCGAAACTTAGGGGGTTCCTTTACAGGGTTACTACAAGGGTTCCTATAAAGGACCCTATAATGGTTTAGAGTTTCCGAAACTTAGGGGAGTCATTTAAAGGCTGGCTGTAAGGGTACAATAAGGGTTCCTATCCTTCAAAAGGCTCTATAATGGTTCGGAGTTTCCGGAAATTAGGGGTAGCTCATTTTGGGGTGCCTAGGAACCTGCTATTCAGGGCACTGTATTAGGGTCCCTTATTTCGGAAACTCCATAGGGACTTGAGCATAGAGTCTGGCTCTACTTTGGGGGTTAGGCTTTCAGGTTCCGGATTTCGGATGACTAAGTGCAGGGCATCGTGTTCTAACCGTTGGGGCTCAGGATTTCGGATGTTAGGGTGCAGCGTTTGGGCCTTCATTGCACCCAAGCCAGAAGGCATGAAGTCATCTTCATACCCTCGGCTATGTCCGAAGCCGATATCCCTAAACCGCCAAACCCTAAGAAAAACCTCAAGAGCCCTGAACCGGTTCGGCCCACTGAGGAATCGCAAAGTATCTGAAAGACCACAAGTGCAAGGACGTCGTGGTCATGTGTGGAGCAGGGCTTTCCACTGCTGCAGGGACACTTGTCCAAGATCTCGCAAACAGGGTGAAGCTTTGCTTAGGCTGCTTGCGATTCAAGACAGCCATGCATATGCTCCAGCAAGTATCCTGCTGTGCACTTGGCTGCTCAATAGAGACAAGGTCAAGGTCAACGTCTCAGAGGGAGGGTTCGAAAACTTGCGATACCAAGTCGCACAGAGACAAGCCGCTCGCGAGATTGTAGGCTTTGTTGAAGGCTGTGGGTTTCGAGGTTGCAGTGAAGACCCTAAACTCCTAAACCCCAAACCACTGAACCCGATCGAACATCGTGGCTGAGGATACCGGACTTCCGCACGCCAGGAACCGGCCTTTACGATGCTCAGTTCAAATGTTTCTGGTGGAACAAACGATAATCGGCTCGGCCTAAACTCCTAATCCTGGACCCACAGTGTCCTGCCGAGGGGTTACTGGCCTTTTTAAGAAGTTCCTCTGGGCCAGGATTTTGGGTCCTGCGCTCTGGCGTGTTCCTCGCACAGATGTTTGACGCTCCATGTGCCCATTGTTGATTAGGGCGCTTCTGGAAACTAGGGCTATGTTGTTTAGGGTTCTTTCAACAGGTGTGTGCTCGACGTTCCTAAACCAAAAACCACTTCCTCTTGAGCTTCGAAGGGCTCAACGCTCAAATGGAGTCATTACTTTGTCTCCACTTCGCAACCAATGTTGTTTGCCAATTTGCTACGCTACTTACTGTGCTGTACCACGCAACCACCGCAGCCTATGTTATCTATTCATCAATGCATCTATCGATCTATCTATCCGTTTATGTACGTGTGTGCATGCTTGTGTGTATACGTATGTATGTAGGTAGGCATAATATTCACATATACACACAAGGAAAAATAGGGCTCTACCCCAGGACACGAGGGCTAGTCATCTAATCCCCAGGACACGTTGCAGCGGTTCAATCTCTCACAGCCGGAGGCGATCTTCGAGCTAGAATCTCGGGGTTAGTTTTGTGATGTGTTGTGGAAAGCTAATATAGGGGCCTTAAGAATTACCACTATTGCAGGGGCTCCTTATTCTAAGTATAGTATGGTCCCCAAAACCCTATTCTAATTAATAAGGCCGCTATGCTATAGAAGCCTATGATAGATCCCTTATAGAACCCTTGAAAGGAACCCTTAAAGGAACCCTATTCTAATGATTGAGGCTCCTATATTACGCTCGTTTTCGCATTTCTTGGAGACTCAGGTGCCGACCTGGAGGTTTCAAGTAGGCTTGGAGGATGAGGGGACTTAGTAAATGGGGTTATAAGGACCTGAGTTCAGCAAAAAGTTAGATATATTTAAGGTCACCTTACTTATGACCCTACCTACTAAGTCCCATGATCCTCTAAGGGCTGATGTTGGCAGGATGAGAGTTTCCGTCGTACATCCTTTGGGTACGACGAAGGTCCCGTCGAAGTCATCTATTCGTGCGAGCTTTGGCTATGTCCATCTTGGCCACGCATTCTATTTTGTATCGCAAATTCCTTA